GACATTGAGGGAGTTCTTCAGGAACCCAAACATGATGATGGAAAACCATTGACGGCAAGAGAACAGGAAGAACTCATGCTAGATCAACTTGCATTGCCCGGAGCCGATATGACGGAACAGAAGCGGAGACGATTGTGGCGTGCTCTACCCCAGAGGACTCGCATTGCAATTCGTCGCTTGCATCGGCAGTTCGGACATCCCGCACCGTCAACTTTGAAGAATATCTTAAAGGCAGGTAAGGCAAGCAAGGAGTTGATCGAGGCCGCACGTCTCGTCCGTTGTCAGTCCTGCGAAGACACTGCACCACGTCCCCGTGACCATCCGGTAGGAAATAGTAATTTCCAGTATGAGTTCAATGCCATGCTTGGTCTTGACGTCACAGAAATGAAGGACCATGCAGGGAACAAGTACAGCATTCTCACGATGCTGGACATTTCGACAGGATTCCATTTGTCAGAGGTTGTCAAAGAAGGTGGAGGTATGCCAACGTCAGAAGCCTGTGCACAAGCCATCCTACGCAGATGGATCAGTTGGGCAGGTTTTCCAAAGGCTGCAATCATGGATAGAGGTGTCCACAACCGAGGTGAGGTATCCAAGCTGTTCGCTTCGCATGGTGTTGAGATCTTCTATGCACCATTGGAAACCCCATCAGCCATTGGCAAGGTTGAAAGGCACCAAGGTATCTTGAAGGCAATTCTCAGGAAGACCATCCATGACATGGAAGCCGTTGGTCGCAATGCGTTTGAAACATGTTTGCACGAATGCACTTCCGTGAAGAACCACATGCAAAGAGTCCAAGGCTATTCTCCAGCACAATGGGTCCTGGGTAGGAACCCAAGAGTTCCAGGATCTGTGACAGATATGGATGAGGCAGGAAACTTGGGCATCTTGGAGAACAAGCTTGACCCTGCAGCTAGCTATCATTTGTGTCATGCATCCCGTATGGCTGCACAAAAGGCTTTTTTTCATTTGGATACAAGCTCCCGTGTTGCAAGAGCATTGACCAGGAATGCTGCAGTCCAGAACAAGAAGTCATTTGTGGTTGGAGACCTTGTGGTCTACCGTCGAGACACCCAGCAAGGTGGAACCGTGTGGTCCACTGCTTCGCGTGTGATTGGCATCGACCCGCATAATGGCATCTGGTTGCTACATGAAGGTATTCCTATTTTGTGTGCCGCCGGAAAACTCAGATCAGCCAATGAGAGTGAATCTTTGGCCTACTCTATTTTGAACAACATCCCAGTATTCCCGGAGGCAGTGACATTGGGACAGCAGAAGTACATCCGAATGATGGATGAAGAAGCAAGCCCTAAGAAGGGACAGAAGAGAGAAGCACAAGCAGAAGATAAGACGGGCAAGGCTGCCCGATCATCTGCAAGCGCGAGTGGAAGCGCAGTCGCAGTTCCGATGACCCCCGGAGGCATTGGTGGTGATGATGAGGTCATGCTTGCAATGGTTGACAATGAAGACCATTGGAGAATCTCTGAGAACCATGCAATTCGTGTTCACAACAAGAGGAGATTCCATGACTTCCATCCGCTGCATGACGGAGATGTTCCGGAAGGATTCGGAGGAAGACGCGTAACCAGAAAAGTCTATGAAGACGGAAGTCGAATGACCAGCGAGTCCATGCCGGGCATGGATGATGTTGATTCTCGCGCGTGGACAGGTTTCACAATCTTTACACGGGTAAAACACCCGTTGATCGCCATGGCCGCTGCTGACGACACTGAACTCGATGCTGCAGAGTTTCGAGCCTTCGTGGCTCAACGCTTTGGAGAAAACAGTGAGACGCAGGTTGGCAAGGTGGCAAAGACGCTGCAGTACGATCGATGCACTCCCGAGATGCAAGCTCGCATCTTGGATGCACGTCGTGCAGAGTGGAGCAAATATAGGAGCTTCAATGCTGCAATGCCTATTCGAGGCAGGGAATTAGAAGAGTTACTTCAAGAAGGGCATGTTCCTATTCCTATGCAATGGGTAGATGTGGATAAGCAAGCTCACCTGACAGGTACGCCTGAGCATCAGCCAGAAAACAGATCTCGGCTAGTAGCCTGTGGAAATCACGAACAAGTGAGTCGTGATTCACAAGGTATTCGCTGCGACAGCCCCACTGCTGAGACTGAAGGACACATGTTGATTGCAAGCTTCGCATCAAGCCATCGTGTGACCCTGTACGCGGCAGATGTTTCCTCAGCGTATTTTCAGAGTCAGCCAATGACGAGATTGCTGTTGCTCAAACAGCCACGTGGTGGAATTCCAAGCCCGGATGTTCCACCGGATGCAATGTTGGTTGCACGCCTTCCGATCTACGGCACGATCGACGCAGGCAGAGGCTTTTACTTGAGGATGAATGGTGAGATCACCAGTGCCGGGTTGAAGTGCAGTCGCATTACACCTGCATTGTACTATTTGCACAATTCCAAGGGAAAGTTGATAGGCATGGTCGCGACACATGTCGACGACTTGTTGTATTGCTACCTTGACGAAGGCAAGAAGACAATTGAAGGTATCCTCAAAAGGTTCACGATTGGCAAAACAGAATCGGGAAAGTTCCGATACTGCGGACGTCAGTTCGTACAGCATGAGGACTACTCCGTGAGCATTTCTACAAGTGAAAACTGCAGAACAGTGAAGCCGATCGAAATCGACAAGCATCGGAAGCTGTCGGAAAAGGTGACAGAGAAGGAGTTGACAAGCCTCAGGAGCGTTGTTGGTAGTTTGGCTTGGGTTGCTCGTTATGGAAGACCAGACCTTTGTTACCGTGTGAATGAGATGCAGCGTGCATGTAGCGCAAAGGCAACAGTGCAAGACTTGAAGAACGCCAACAAGGTTGTTGAATTGGCACTTCAAGGAAGTGACTTGCAGATCACCTTCAAGAGTGATTGGATTGACTTGGAGCGATTTGGCAGTTGTGACATTTAGCGACGCAAGTTTCGCAAATGAAGAAGGCTTCAAGAGCCAGCAAGGCCGCATTCACTACATAACGAACGCGAGCAGCCTCAAGGAAGGCAGTCACAGAATGCATCTGATCAGCTTTGGTTCAACCACCCTCAAAAGGGTGTGTCGTGCTACATTGCAAGCAGAAGCATACGCTCTGCAAACTGCAGTCGAACATGGAGATCGTCTACGATGCCTGATTTGTGAGTTGACCGGACGACTTGATGACTTCAAGAACTGGCATGAAGAAACTCAGAGACGAATGGCACACGTGTACTACACGGATTGCAGGAGCTTATCGGACCATTTACTGGCAGAAGTTCCAAGAAAAGTACAAGACAAGAGGCTTGGCATAGAACTTGCCGCATTGAGGCAAGGAGTGTGGACTGTGAGTGGCGAGAAAACATCAGAGATCTACAGTCCCTATGGTGACCACCTGAGGTGGATTGAGACATCGAAGCAATTGGCAGACCCGCTAACCAAGAGCATGAAGCCGGACTACCTCCTCAAGACACTGGAAAGTGGCCTTGTGAATGTCGAGAACAGTGGCGCATGCGAGAAGGGAGCCAAGAAGAAAGATGAAGAAGTCTCACCTGACTTGTTTTGAGAATTCGACATGGAATGGCATGGTTTACGGCCCCACGGGGAATAGAGTTGCTTGGCTGCCTTTGTACAACTTGAACTGTAAAGCCCGCAACACACCTGTAGATAAGACGGGTGTGAATTTCAGCTGTTGTAGCCAGGGTGTATTGCGTACAGTTGATGCACCGTCGCTGCTGTTTCGGCTGAACAGGGCCCTTGAGCTGATTCGCTGCTGCGAAAAGGAACTGTGCGAGATTCAAACATGTGTTGCATTGTTTTGCAGGTTAAGTTGCACATGTTGTTTCACGGCAAGTTATTCCCTGGCTAATAAGGCATAGGCAGTTTTGCTATGTGCATGTTAGTTCCTTTGGAGGGGTGGGAATGTTTCCATTTGAGACCTGCGAGGGCGAGGGTTGGAAGCAAATGCCCCAGTGCTACGTAGACCATTAATGATAGACTGGCACTTGTTGATGGGCAAGCCTGTGGGCATTCTCGACCTTTTTGCCAAGGTCCGCCTTCGATGGCAGTCTTATCCCTCGTCTCGAGCCCGTGCCTTGAGTCGTGACGCAAGCATTCTGAACACCAACCCCTGTGTTTGTTTCACTTAAGCGGGAGTCCGTGGGCCATGCTGCATCATGCTCGTATCATGCACTACACGTTTGAGGGAAGACCCGTTTCAAAAGAAATGACAACAGGTTTGGGCAGGATCACGTCAAGCTTGACAGATGCCAATACCATGAATTCGATGTAGAAGAGTATTCATCGCGTCTTGGCCAACCAATTAGAGGGACTGTCAGCGCTTCTTCACAGAAGAGGCTGTGCAGTCACCAGAGAACTTGCACCCAACCCATGTCGAGGTAGAAGGCTATAAAAATAAGGATTAAGGACACATCATGTAAAATATTGTAAAATCATACGTATAATGTAGTTATGTAGAGGTTTATATAGTTGCCAACCTAGAAGCACGCTGCAGACCAAAAAATGATGGAATGTGTTTCCAATGCATTTGTGGTAATGCTGAATAGCACAGACGTTGTGAGCCACTGTATTTTCCTTGGCGTTTAGAATGTTTAGCTTGCCCCAATTTCAATACATGTGTTGATAAGATATGGTCGCACATGGTCATGGGGCGGTCAAAGTGTGCAGACCTGAACTTTATGACGCTCGCTTCTCCACCAGTGACTCTATCATGTAGAGTCTATTATGAGCTAAGGTGTGGGGCTAGTTGCCCAGGGGCAGCCCACCAGGGAGGTAATGCTCCATCATTGCATTCCCTCCATTGCAATCCCTGGCGTAGGAGAGGCAAATGCCTCCTTGGAATGGTGCAGAACTGTGAACACCATGAAACAAGTAGTATATACTTATCTCACAGCAATGCACTCCCCACTTCTACTTTTATTGTCGCAAACCTAATTGACTCCCTTGGATTTTTGGACTTCGGAATTTGTTTCATTGCCATTGAAGACCTGTTGAAGTCCTCCACACAGATTCCACGGCCCTTGGCGTGACCGTTGAGCTCGCGCTCATGACCTCATGCAGCAGCAGCCATGGGATCCGAGTATTTGGTCAATGTCTCAGTACCTTGGATGTCACAGATTCTTCGATCTTTACGGAGTCACGCGTGGGACACCGAACGGCTGCGGAGAAAGCACCCACCTTGCTGGACTGCCATAGGCATAAGGATTCTTGGAAGACTTGCTTTTGCCCTTTCCCATTTGTGGACCCTTTTGACGAGAGACGGTATTTCAATGTATTTCAATGTATTTCATGCATTGGTCCTACGCACCACTGAGCCAAAGTTACTGAGGTGTTTGCCGTGGCAGGTGGCTTGCCTTTGTTGAGTTTGTTGCGGGTCGTTGCAGAGCATGTTCCAAAGCTGTCCTGTGGCACGCAAGGTCTCAAAGTGCCCGGCGATGGGGCGGGCATGCCCAACCCGTATGTGGAGGTCGATTGCTTGGGAGAGAAGAAGACAACCCAGGCAGACGGCATCCATCGACGTGTGGCATGTGTATATTTGGTGGTAAATGAATGTAAATGAATAGTATATAAAGTCTGCAAACGAGTCATTCGGACCAGATGGTCCAACATATGGTGAGGTAATACATTATTGATCAAGTAAACACATATTTGAGTGTGCGCATATGTAGACACATGTGCATGCAAACTGTCACAGGGCGTCGGGCCTGAATGATTTCAAGCCGGTCAAAGTTGAGAATAGATGGATATCGGTTGGTTGCCGGGCATGTTCAGATCAATTGAGGTGGAGTGGCACGCTTCCACCATCCGGTGGAAGGTGGAAACTGCTGAAAGTACGAAGGGAGATCTCAAAAGCCGTACTCCAAGTCGATGAAGTCCCGGTGGACTAACATTTGTGAACTAAATTTGAACTGAATGAAATGGCTCTCTCTTTGCAAAAGGAGAACAGCCTGGAACATTTTCAAGCCTGGTTTTCCAACTGCATGGCCGCATGGCGGTTTGTTTTGGTGCGGGGATCTTGCTGCAAGCCTTTGCCCATAGTGTTTTTACTGCGAGCACAATTTGTTTGATGATTGATGATTGATTGAAGGTCATCAGTGGCGCTTCTGCATGCACCTTCAACAACTTCTATAGCACCTTGGCCTACATTCTGTTCGACACAATTCCACAAACACCCCTATCATCCATGAAGGCACTTGTGGACCCTTCAAACATCATGCAGCCAATTTCGCTAGACGAAGGCCGACATCATGTGTAGAGTGTAGACCTTCCCGATTTTTTCCCAGCGTTTTGAATATATATCAAATTTGACTCCTCACGTATCACAAGATCATGAGTGTCCAGTGTCCTTCAAAAATCCATGGTGCGCGCGGCTAGTGGAGCAGGATTAGCAGATCAGGACCTGTAGAGGAGCTTTGTCAATTCTAGACTTGAAACACGGCTTGACTCCTTCAGGCACTCTGTCTCCACGCGTGCCCAAAAAAACACTCGAGACAGCAGTAGGGAGAGAGAAAGAGAGAGAGAGAGAGAGAAAGAGAGAGAGAGAGAGACGCACAGTGAAAAGCCGAAACCAAAAAAAACACAAAAAGTGTGCCACAGGGAGAAACCAAGCAGAAACAAAGACGGAGATAGAGATTTCTTGTGGCGCACTGTCAGGCTTCTCCCGGCACATGAGCGAAGACGACTTCACTGGAGGGGACGCTGTCATAGCCGTGTACCATCAGAAGACGCCAGGCTTAGGTGACCTCATTTGTTTAGCTTTAGAACCACGCTTGAGCCGCAACTACCGCAACTAGAGGCCCCAAACCACCTCGGATTTGCACAGAACACTCAAGAATGAACGCCGGACTGTTTGGCAAGCTCTTTGACCGTTGGTTTTGGGTGGCTATGCTGAGATTTCGACTGAGCACAGTTTCTAGAGCATGATTGTCAAGACTTTCGACAATCATGTCCATTTCAGGAACAGCTTTGGCTTCAAGGTGAAACTGGGTCAAGTGACCTTCAGCTTGGAGAAGGTGTCCCTTGGCACAAGCCGTTTGTTCAATGCCAGCTTCATGCTTGCTTTCTTGCCGGAGATTTTCCTGAGGAGGCGGTTACATATTACATCCTATTACTCCCTCCAAAGGTGAAGTCAAATCATGAAGCAAAGTGGTGTAATGAGACAGCCTTGTGCTGCTGGGTGTGGTCAGGATTGGGACTGCTGGTGACTGGTGACTCTAGCCAGACAGATCAGAAACTACAGTTACACAACCAATTTTTTGTTGGGCTTGAAGTTTGAACGGCATTTGTGTGCGGTAATGTTGGTGTTTGCTGAGGTATCACCAAGATGGGCACCTCGTTGCGAAGGACTGGTTTGTTATTGTCCTACCAGACGATCCAGGCGTGGCACCATGTTCATAGCAGACAAGATGGCTTTGAGCTGAGGTTGATAATCCAGGACTCCCAACAAGACGCAAGTTTGTCAGAATACAGAGCACCACATGCTATGGAATTAGACGACCCGTCAACTGTAGTTGGCCTCACTAGGACCACAGCGAGAACACATGGTTCAGACCCGTGTCAGAGCCCCTGTCCTGGCTCAGCCGCCCCTTTTTCGTCACGGCTTGCTACGGAACCCTGTTGGGCCAGAGGGTGCACTACCGAAGCTCAAGAACGGGGCAGGCTCAGCTTCATGGTCTCCGCTTTTGCTGGAAACTTTTGTGGCTTCAATGTACTAATTCTCGCGAGCTGTATTTCGGCAAACTGTCTTCAGATAAAAAGGCAAAAAAACAACAAACTTGAAAATATAACGTTTGAAAGCCCATTATGTGTTAAAAGGGCATTTGCCTGCCCAAGGTGTTTAACATCATTTAGTTGCGCTGTGAACTTGCTAAGAAGTGGTGGGATCAGAACTCGCCAGGGCTGCAAGTTGCCACATCAAACACGAAGGGAATCACAAATCCTGAGGAGTTGAGGATAGGCTAAAACTCGGGCCCAGAGTAGCAAATGGCAAGGCCAACCAATACAAAGCACAGAGCCAGAACAAGTGAACAAGGCATTGACTTCATTAACTTCTCTCTCAGTCTCAGCCATGTCATGGCACTGGTGCTGCCATCTTCATTGCTGGATAGTGGCGCACAGTGTACAAAGGGCGTACCAGATTTACCTGACTTGCAGCTTGCTTTATTTGGCACGGTTTTGTTATGTTGCTTCTCTCAAACTCAGACTCTCTCACGAGTCTCACTGTCACTCTCCCTTTCTCCCCTTCTGACTGACTCTCTGTTTCCTTTTGTTTTGTAATGGGAACTTAACTCAATTTCTGACTCCTTGGCAACTAAGTTTCTGGGTGATCTACAAGGGAAAGAAGACCTCCGCCAGCTGCACAGACAACTATGTGGCAATAGCAGCTGTAAAAAGAGGTAAAGATTCAATTCACAGAGACCCTCAGCCGAGAACAGGGAGCAGTAAGTTTGTTTGTTCAAGTCTGAGTCTGTTCTGTAAACTTTTGGTTGAGGTTAAGCTGGTAACTGGTGTGTTTTGCCTTCAGGGTTAAACTAATGGTGCAGCTGGAGACCCTGTGACATTATCTTGAACGTCAACAGCTTGGAAAACTAAGTGCTGCATATAGTTTTTCAGAATTCAGAATACAATTCCGTCAAGTAGGTTGGGAGCCCAGTTGGGGGTCGAGGCTGAGGCGGTCAAGGGTTGAGGGTTACAGAGCTACAAGGGTGTAGGGTGTAGGTTCATGTTCATGCCTGACTTGAGGAAATTGGGAAGTGGTCTTTCTTGGAGCCGTGTCCAAGCAAAGTGTCTGCCTTAGGCAAAAGGCACATGCACCTGATTCCGCCAGTGGACGCCCAGCACTTTAGGCACACAGCTGGTGTCAGCGGCACAATGCAAATGGCAATGACCGCTATGTTTGTTTGCACTTACGGGCAGGACGCTTGTTTTGGGAAGCCGTTGACATTATCAGAAGTCGAGCAGTCAGCGGGTCGTGTGGTTGATTATGGCACTATGGGGGTAGCCCTGGTCGGTGAACCGACTTTGTGGGCAACCCCCAAAGTGGCAGATATGGTAGCTTCATTCAGGTCAGAGTCGGGGTCTGGAGAAGGCAATCAAATTTGGCAACTGCTTGCACAATGTCACTCACACATCTCCTCTAGTTTGTCTGCTGGAAATGCGCAGCTGGCACAGGCCATCACTTTGTTGGATCAGCTCACAGACTGCTTGACAAGCAATAAGAAGACAACAAGCTCTAGAAAAGGTGGAGGCTTGCAGTATACACCAAGGCACATGCTGGCCACTGTCTTGTTGTCGGATCATTTGAAGGACATGAGTTTGATGCCTGATGCTGTGAAGCAAAGTCTTGACTTGGCTTTGTCTGATGAATTGTCAAGGCACCTTGACTTGGCAGGTGGTGCGAACATTCCTTCCAAAGCCACTCTGTACCGGTTCCGTCTTGAGCTGGACCTTTGCACAATGGTTTTTTCCAGGAAGAACTACTTTGCTCGCTCTGGTCCAAGCCTGTGGGCATGCCATATCAGATCAGACGCAAGTCCACAATTCGGAAAGGATTATTTTTGCACAGAGATCGATCATGTGGACCTTCAATCCATTACTGACTTGACACGATTGCCAGATATGCGACAGCATTTGTCTCGGCGTATCCTTCCAGTGCAGTTGATTGGTGGACGAGCAGCTTCAGCCGCACACAAGGCCCTCAGACTGATGATGGCTCTCGGGGCTGACACTGAGGACATTGACTGCACGCTGGCACGGTGCTACAGCTTAGCTTTTGATATGGGTACAGAGCGGACACTTTTCACTGCCCCTGCTATGAGGACTAAAGCACCTGAGGCGACAGCGCCGGGTTCAACTGTGGCTTTGTTTGAGAGCGAGGGAGTCGCCCCTGCTCAGCCACTAGACATGATACAATTGTCACCGCTTGAGCCAGATGCTGACACTGAAGACATATCCAGGCTTTGTCCACGAGCGTTGCCAATTGGAGATTATGATCACGAAGCTTGGTCAGGTCATTAATCAATGTTTAGTTTTGTTTTGTATGTATAGTCGAGTATAGGATACATTGTTACAAACATAGTAAATATAATGCTATCCTTTTGGAATTCTATCCTTTTGGAATTCATTGATTTCAAACCTGATGTAGAGTAGTGTCATATCTAAAGATCGAACGTATCCGATTTTTTGATAAGTTTTTTAACAGGCAAAAGGCTTTATGTGAACTTCCTGCTAACTTTCTGAATCAAGTTACTACAAGTCTTTTGTCAAGCCAGGCAATGCACCACACGATGCTCAGTATGACCAGTGCCTTTGAAGATTGGGAGTGGTTCCACAAGACCTTGCACTCCGTCAGCAAGTTCTTTTCGAACTGGGGACGTCTACGCCGATTCCAGTCTGTGGTGATTGAGCGCAATCCTATGTTCACTTCTGGTGTGTTGAGAAATTCCTTCAGCAGAATGTTCAAAACGACCTGCCCAACCCTACAAGAGCAGCGTTGGGAATATTTGTGACCCGTGATGAGCAGTCAAGAGAGCTTGTTTTGCTTTCTTTTTGGGGCTTCAGGTTTCCTCTTAAGTCAAAAATGAGTGGCCAAGGCCAAGGCAACCCATATGCGTTTAACGTTAAGTCAAGTTTGGTTCTTGGGTGGCATTTCATTTCTTAGGCGAGATGTTTTGCGGTGGATCATTCCTCGTCAAAAGCCAATTCAAGCTTTGCAGCCTAGCATCAATTTCCAAGACCTGCAAGATCGGGACATGGACCAAGAGGAAATTAAGCTCTTTCGTCTGGTGGGCGGCTCTGCTACACCGGATTCTACTGGGGAAGATTTGGCAAACCTGTCAAGGCTTTTCTGGTGCATGGCCAAAATGGTTGATTCGCTAGCTGAGTGGGGTCATGGTGTTCTTACTTGGATGTCAGGGTGCCCGTGCCCTAATCCAAAGCCATGTACAGACTCCAAGGGCAAGAATCATTGTGTGCTGAAGGGCCGTCGTGCAATTGAGTTGGCTGCTGGACGGTCCAGTCAGTTCCGGGAGTCTTTGTCCAGGGCAACACTGACAGAACTTGGCAGAGAGGCCCACACTGAGTTGTCCAAGTTTGATCCGGAAAAGGCAACGTCTTTGCTGAACGAATGGAACACAGCAAAATGCAACATGCTGCTTCGGATTGAACAGCATTTCTCGTGCTGGACAGAACGTCCGTGGAGTCTTCTGCAAATCGGTGAGTGCTTGGTTGTGGAGGCAAGTGTTGCCAAATAAACTTGGACCAAATCTGGGGTTGTAGATAGTAGATAGCTCCTGCAAAGATTGAGTTTTCACAAGAAAATTGAAAGTTAGGATAGGCTTAGCTTAGGTTTCAACTTGAACTGGCTGACCGTTTTTTGATGAATGAGCCCTTTAGGGAGAGCCAGCATTGGCAAGAAGCAGACACGCGGCGCAGCAGCTGCTTGACAATCCATCTTCAGCAGATCTCATGACCGTTGTTGAAGCAAGGTTTCTCACAGCTGATCTGCGAGATGAACTTGTCGCTTTTTGCAGTGGAGGTGCCTTGGCTGCTGCTTTGATGCTTGTGGGGTGTATTGATTCACAACAAAAAAACGCCACAACAACTTGCATTGGTTCAAGGAAACATGTGTATATATTATGCAGTATATATATACTACTGTATCACTATCTATAATATTCCATGACTCTATCGTAATTACTGGAACTATGTATGTATATATATATATATCTATATATGACTACTCTTTTTACCATGGTGGTGTATACATGGCATGACTGGTGCCGGCGCCGGTGCCTGTTCAAGGTAATCTTGGACCTGCTCTTCGGAAAGAGCTACTTTGCTACGGAACTTCTTTGCTTGTGCTTCAAGGGTTGGAGAGTCGTCACCATTTGATTTCTGTGAAGGTGGGGAGGGGCCGCGCTGCTTCTGTCTCAGCGGTCAGTGCTGAGATTCGTCGCCTCCAGAACAAAGATTTGAGGGATGAGCGATTTGTTGCACAACTGCCAGAATTGCTGGCCAACCTGGGCCAACTCACCAGCCTTCCTTATCGGAACAGAACTGAATTGATGTCGAATATCCTTGGGCAGGTTTACAGAGGGCTGCATGACAGCATGTTGGTTGAGGGTGAGTACTTTCAGAAGTTCCGAGATTCTCTGAAGCAAAAGGTGCAATCCACCCAGCGCCAGCGCACACCAGACTTTGATATGAAGATGCAACATCTTACAAATTTGCTGGAGGAAGGTGAGTACTATGAAATTGGCCCGACTGCACAAGGACTTCAACCCATGCTCTTTCAAGTGCTATCTTTAAACCCTGGGCGAAGGATGTATGTGCAGCGGGCTGCTCACATGTCTGCTGATGAGCCAGGGCTGATTTAGT